TATTTTTTACTGAGATCTATTTTCAATTGGCTTTATACACATATGATTAACTATATGTTAAGTAACAAGTCAACAAATAGTATAAAGAAGGAAAAATACTTCCTCAACTGTCAAGACAAGGGCTGTTCAAGCCATTGCTTCTCAAAGTGTCAATTTCACTTCTACAGATTTCCTTTTAGGTGCTTTAATAGTTATCACAGATCAAGGAGAACATAAGATATTTGTCCATTTGGGACTGGCTTATTTCACTAAGTATAATGTTTTCCAATTCATACATTTTGTTGCAGATGACTGGGTTTCCTTTTTTTTACCACTGTGTAGTATTCCATAGAGTACATAGCCCATAATTTCTTTATCCAGTCTTCAGTTGATGGGCAATTAGTTTGATTCTGTGTCTTAGCTATTGTGAATTGAGCTGCAATAAACATGGGGGGTGCAGATAACTCTTGTATGTGCTGATTTCATTGCCCTTCGGTAAATTCCCAGGAGTGGGATAGCTGTAGGTCTATATTCAGATTTCTGAGGTATCTCCAAACTGTCTTCCATAGTGGTTTTACCAGTTTACATTTGCACCAAACAGTGGATAGGATACCTTTTTCCCCACACCCTCACCCACATTTGCTGTTTGCTGATTTCTGTATGAAAGCTATTCTAACTGGGGTGAGGTGAAACCTTATTGTGGTTTTGATTTTAATTTCTCTGATGGCTAGTGATCCTGAGCATTTTTTCATGTGTCTGTTGGCCATTTGTTGAGAAATGTCTGTTGAAGTCCTTTGCCCATCTCTTAACTGGGTTGTTTGTGTTGTTTTTGTGGAGCTTCTTGATCTCTTTATATATTCTGGTTACTAATCCTTTATCAGTTTCATAGTTTGCAAATAATTTCTCCCATTTTGTTTGTTGCCTCTTCACTTTCCTGGGTGTTTCTTTTGTAGTACAGAAGCTTCTGAATTTGATGTAATCCCATATGTTAATATTGGCTTTGATTGCCTGTGCCTCTGGGGTCTTTTCCAAGAACTCTTTGCCTGTGCCAATGTCTTGCAGGGTTTCCCCAATATTCTCCAATAATTTGATGGTATCAGGTCATAGATTTAGGTTTTTAGTCCATTTTTGAATGTATTTTTGTGTAAGGTGTAAGGTAGGGGTCTTGCTTCATACTTCTGCATGTGGAAATCCAGTTTTCCCAACACCATTTGTTGAAGAGACTGTCCTTGCTCCAGGGATTGGTTTTAGTTCTTTGGTCATATATAAGTTGGTTGTAGATGCTTGGATTGATTTCTAGCATTTCTATTTTGTTCCATTGGTCTATAAGTCTGTTTTTGTTCCAGGCTGTTTTGATTATAACTGCCTTGTAGTATGTCTTGAAATCTGGTATTGTGATGCCTCTATCTTTGTTTTTGTTGTATAATATTGCTTTAGCTATTTGAAGTCTCCTTTGTTTCCATAGGAATTTCAGCATCTTTTTTACTAATCTGATAATTATGTCTTTGGTATTTTGATTGGTATCACGCTTAATCTGGAAATTCCTTTTGGAAGAATGGACATTTTGATGATATTTATTCTTCTAATCCATAAACATGGAAGAAATGTATAGATTCCTGAACACTTACAACCTACCTAAATTGAGCCATAAAGACACAGAAAACCTAAACAGACCCGTTACCAAGATGGAAATTGAATCAGTAATAAAGGCCCTCCCAACAAAGAAGAGTACAGGACCAGATGGATTCACTGCTGATTTCTATCAGACATTTAAAGAACTAACTCTAATTTTTCTCAAGTTTTTCAAAACAATTGAAAGGGAGAGAATCTTCCCAAATTCTTTCTATGAAGCCAGCATCACCTTAATTCCTAAACTCAGAAAAGACGTGACAGAGAGAGAACTACAGACCAATTTCCCAGATAAATATAGATGCAAAAATCCTCAACAAAATTCTGGCCAATTGAATCCAACAACACATCAGAAATATCATTCACCTGGACCGAGTGGAATTTATTCCTGGTGTGCAGGATGGCTCAACAGTCGCAAATCAATAAATGTGATACATCACATTAACAAACTGAAGAACAAAAACCATGTGATTAGCTCAATAGACACAGAGAAAGCATTTGATAAAATACAACACCCTTTCATGATGAAAACTCTAAGCAAATTGTGTTTAGAAAGAACATTCTTCAACACAATCACAGCAATTTATGACAAACCCAGGCCAGCGTCTTCTTGAATGGGGGAAATTTGGAAGCATTTGTACTGAGATCTGGAACTGCACAAGGATGCCTACCTCACCATTGCTATTCAGTATAGTCCTGGAAGTTTTAGCCAGAGCCATTAGGCAAGAAAAATAAATCCAAAGGATACAAATGGGGAAAGAGGAAGGCAAACTATCCCTATTTGCGGATGATATGATTCTATATATAGGGAATCCAAAAGACTACACCAAGAGACTATTGGAACTCATAGAAGAGGTTGGTAAAGTAGCAGGATATAAAATCAATACACAAAAATCAACAGCCTTTGTATAAACAAACAATTCCATGGCTGAGAAAGAACTTCTAAGATCAATTCCATTCATAATAGCTACAAAAAAAAATGCAAACACCTTGGAATAAATTTAACCAAAGATATTAAAGATCTCTACAATGAGAATTACAAAACTTTAAAGAAAGAAATAGAAGGCAATACAAGAAAATAGAAAAAAAACCTAATTTTTACAGATTAGAAAACTGAGGCACAGTGGAGCTTAGTAATTTGCACCAGGTCATACAAACTGCAAAGGACAAAGGTAGGATCTGATAAAGGCAGTCTGACTTCCAGCCTTATGCTCTAATAGTTATGTCAAAGGTGGGGCTTTTAGGGCTGGCGAGTTCTATTCTTGACTTGGTGGTATTTGTCATACATTGTATTCATGTGGTTTCCCAGATTTGTTCTATTTTATTCAAAAACCGTTTAGGGGCTAGTGTTTTGGTATAATGGGTAAAGCTGCCACCATAATGCCAGGATCCCATATGGGCACCAGTTTGAGTCCTGGCTGCTCCACTTCAGATCCAGCTTCCTGCTAAAGCACCTGTGAAAGCAGTGGAACATGGGCCAAGTACTTGGGCCCCTGGCTTCTGCCTTCAACGTGGCCCAACCCTGGCCATTTTGGCCATTTGGGGTGTGAACCAGTATATGGAAAATCTCTCTCCCTCTCCCACATCCCTGTAACTCTGCATTTCAAGTGAATAAAATAAAACTTGTGAAAATTTTTAAATTATAACATTAGTAGCTAAAATTTTCCCACTTGATGCTTTGAGCAAAAATCAGATATACATTTTGCATATCATATGCTTTGCAAGCATAGGCACAGAATGCAGGTTGTGTAACATTGTAATCATACTGGTTTCTGACATGTATCACAGGGTTCAGAAGCAAATGGAAAGCATGTTTTCAATTTATGGCAGGAGGCTCTGCTGTTTATCACATTCCATTGGTGGGAATGGGAAAATGGTATGAAGAAAGTTTTTATTTTGGCATTCTGAATCTGACCCCCTTACCTTCTCTACATTATCAACACGTACTTTTTCTCTGTCAAAGAAACTGTCTCAAATTCTGGAGACCTTTCTTTTTCTCTTCCCTTCATCCCTTTATCTGTCTGACCATGTACACATACCCTACAAATTCCCTTCCCCCTGTCGCTCCTCTTTTTTGTAGAACTGGAGGACATTTCTTATTGGCTGTACTGAACACTATGATGTGCTGGTTAGTCTTCATTAAAGTGGATTATGTACAGCCTTCTCTACACTCCAAAAATCATCTCCTCTAATTAAGTTTCCATTGACTGAGATTCTCCATACTTGACTTTTTTTAATAGCTGAATGGTTTCCAGGTTAATAAAAGCTCTGTCCTCACGGAAGTACTGTAAGGGTTGCCAGGTGTATATATTAAGAAGAAAATCAGGCACCTGCACATAGGTTTCCTAAACTCATCTGCTTTCTGCTCATATCTCTTGCTTTTCCCCTTTCCTACAGACACCCAACAAAGAAAGTACATGTCGGAGCTATGTCTTGGTCTATGGCCTACATAGGGCTTAACAAAACTATTATATTTTTAAAGTCTTAATTTGTTTATATGAAAGGCAGTTGATGGAAAGAGAAAGAGATCTTCTATCTGGTGATTCACTTTCCAAATGGCTGCAACAGCAAGGTCTTGGCTAGGCTGAAGCCTGAAGCCTGTAACTCCATGTGGGTCTCCCACATGGATGGCAGGGGCCCAAGTACTTGGGCCATCTTCTGCGGCTTTCCTGGGTGCATTATTAGGGAGCTAGATTGGAAGCAGAGCATCTGGGGCTTGAACAGGCGCTCTGGTATGGTACGCTGGTGTACAAGGTGGCTGTGCAGCTGGTGTACAGATTAACCTGCTGTGACACAATGTGGGCCCCTAGTCTTGCTATTATTAAAGAGATCTGAGCTCTCATGGTATGAAAGTAGCTAGAAAGATCATCCCTTAAACCAGGGATCTCTGGGTCACATTCCCAGCACTAAGTTCAGTATTTACAAATTTGCATTTGCATTAAATTTATAAATATGACTCAGAATTCTGATGACCAAGAAAATATATTTCAAAATCCTATTCTCCCTTCTAAAGAGGGTACAATGGATACAAAGCACTGTGCATGTGGTATATACCCAATAAACACTAGTTACTATTAGAATTAGTAAGGCAAATATTCTGTGTTTTTGTCTGTAATACCCAACATGAAGGAAAAACATAAAGTTAGACCCACAAAGACACCTGCATTGTTCATTCATCAATGCAATGCAGATCAGAGTCTCAGGATTCCATGGGGCTCTACCTACCCCTGAGCCAATCAAAACTCATCACCCGGGGCCATTATAACAACTCTAGCCCCTCTGTCACCATTCAGGTTATAAGACTCTCTCTCTCTCTCTCTCTCTCTCTCTCTGTAGGCATCTGATCATTTCCTCAGATGGTTCCCTGGCTTCTGGTGGGGAGTGGCATATACCTGTTGGTTTGTTCTGTAACCATCCTTGACCTCCCGCTCTGGTCCTGAGAACAAGATTTCTTCTTCCTGCTCCTCACTCTCTTCAGAACAGGAATCAAACACATCAGCATAATACTCTTCAGCCACAAACGGGTCTTCTGGGATTACTGAAATAAAGAACAAGCAGGTGTCATGGTCATTAAAACGTTAATGAGGCTAGGATGCTCCTGTTTTCCTGGAGATGCATGTTCTGTTTGCACAAGCCTGGAACACAGAGCTCAATCTTGGCTTCCTGAAGGGATTAACAATGAACCCAGAAGAGGAAAGGATGGAGCTTTCCTTTGGCAACCACCCTCTGAAGGTAAAAGAATAAAACCAGGAGACAAGAAGAAATGGTTTCTTTGGAGTCTTTACATTTGGAGGCATGAATTCTTAACACAAAAAGAATAGGTTTGGGAGCAAAAGCAGGAAAATGTGCTCTGGTTGAAGGGTCCTAAGACACAACACACGAAGTTTTAGCAGAGGCAGTGGGGGTGAAATTATGTCAATATTTTTCCTGGAAGTTTCTTTTCAAAGATGTCAGTAGTTGGCCCAGAAAAGATGGATAGGAAGTTCAGCAGTGACATTTTGGTAAGCCTGGGGAAATGTCACAATTCTTTTCTAACAGGCAATGAAGGGTTTTTGAAGTGGAATTCACTCTGGTGTGTCCTACATAGCCAACACTTAGTATTTGGAAAGAATCTCACTTAAGTTGGTGCCAGGAACACGAGTTCCTTGGTACAATGTTGTTAGTAATTAAAACAAGGTTGGTGCTGAGAACAATATTCAAGGCCAAGGCCAGCTCACAATAAAGCACAGCAATATAAACTCTAATTTGTTAATAGGGGCCTAGAAACGAAGGTTCATCACTGGGTAGAGAGAGGAAGAAATTACATAAATTCTACCATGGCGAAAGAGTGGGCATTTCAGACTTTGCACCACACTCCAACTCACAGACAAAATTATTCCTCTAGATTGTAACATGCAAGTGCTGTTTTTCAACCCACTGTTGCTATTTTCTCTCTGGAGGGAAAATGCAGAATTTTGGGTCAGAATCAAGGTTTGAATCTAGGTCTACCACCTCACCAAAGAGAATCTGGGCGAGAGAATTCAACTGATGGAGTTCCATTTTCTCCAATAGGATCAACATAAATCTAGCTATGACAATTCAGTCACACAATTCTTTTGACACCATCTGTAGACAGGGAAGCTTCATACAAATGTTCACTGAACTTCCACGGCCATAAAAATAAGCTCTTCATTAACCGACTCCAGAATCCTTTGAAAGTAAAATATTTAGTGGATGCAGAATTCTCTGGAAGTAAGACTATTTAAAATCTGTTTCCTGCCTATGGTTTCAACTAAAATACAAGAGTCTGTGCAAAGGAATCAAAATCAGTTCAAAAAGACAAAATTTACATAAACTCAGAACTGCCTTTGCCAGCTCCTTCGGAAGGGGCACACCAGGGATGTTATACTTCCCTGCATGCATTTCAATGCAGACTGTTTCCCTTCAGACCACCAATTTATAGTTGAGCATCAGATAGATGATTTGTATGTAGGAGCTATGTTTCATAAAAATCTTTATTCACACTTGGAATGGTAAAGAGTATCATAGCATGAAAACTAAACCTACTGACAGGTCTCCAGTTTTGCCAGCAGGCAGGGAAAACTGCCTGCTGAGTGCAATAGGAGGCAGAATCATATAATTTCCATATGGCTTCCTCCTCTTCTTCCTTCTCCTTCCCCTCTCCCTGAATCTCTTGTGTCTTTCAGAGTTGTCCACTTTTTTCTCCTCTCATTACCTTCTACTTCTCCTCCAAGTCTGTCTCTTTGACAGTTATTCGTTCAATCACTCATTTGTATTTTCTCCCTCTTGCCTCCTCTTCTTCTCTGATCTTCATTCCTCTCCAACCCAGCTTTCAGACTTGACTGTGACACAATTACAAATATCACCTACACTGGTGCCCAGGGCACACATACATGTGCTTTTATGTCTATATGCACACAGATGTTTTTATAGTTGAAACAGGTTTCATGCATCAAAATTTACCATTCAAACTGCATGTGGCACACTCTGGGATTTTCCGTTCTATTCAATTAGGTTTTTTGTGTTTTTTTTTTTTTTTTTTTCCTAATCCTGGATGCAGCTCGATAAACTGACCACTCAACCCACAGTTTGAAAAACACTGGTTTAGGGGTTGGCATTGTGGTCCAGTGGGTTAAGCCGCTGTCTGTGACACCAGCATCCCATATCACAGCTCCGGTTCAAGTACCAACAGCTCTGCTTATGATTCAGCTCCTTGCTAATATGCCTGGAAATCCAACAGAAGATGGCCCAAGGACTCGGAACCCTGCCACCCACTTGGGAGATGTGGATGGAGTTCTTGGCTCCTGGCTTTGGCCTGGCTCAGTCCACATTATGTAAACTTTCTACACTTATGTTTTGTCATCTGTAAAATGGAGATTTTACACAGTTCCCATATCACAAAACTATTTCGAACATTCGATAGCATGATGCATACAGAGTACTGTGTATATGGTAAGAGCCCAGTGAGCATCCATTACTGTTGGAAGGAAAACACTTTGTAGCTTTGCCTGTAATTTCCAACATCAGAGACAGACACAAATATTAGATAATTACAACTGTGTGCCACATTTCTTTGTTTTAAAGGGACTCATTTCTCAAAAGCGGTCCAGAATCCAATGGAAACTAGCAGTAAGGTGTCACGTCTCCAACTGGTTTCCATGCTGCTGGCCTGTACAGGGCCCCTGAGTGTTTTGCACACTTCTCCTCCGTGTTCATCTGGAGTCCCTTCAGGCAGCTCAGAGGGAACCTCTCCAGTGGAGGTTGACAGAATCGTTGCGTAAAGGGCTCTATGGTACACATTTTAGGTGTTGCAGGTTATGTGGCCTCTCTCACAACTGCCCAACTCTGCCTTTATAGTGTGGAAACAAACGAGAAACATAAATGAGTGTGTCTGCGCTCCAATGAAACTTTATTTTCAGAAGCAGGCAGGGAGTCAGGTTCTAGCTCTGTGACAGGCAAGCATTTCCCCTGCCGAAACGCCAAGTCTAGCACTACCAAGTCATGGCTCGTGGAGCAGAGTCTCAGCCCCGTCCCTTTCTCATGCAAGATTCCCTCCTGTGAAGTATGGAACAGAACGACAGGCCGAGGGCAGGTGCTGCATGTGGGAAGAGTTCATGTCCAGTATCTGGAGGAGCATCCTTGGCATGGCACAGCTCAGAGAAGGGCTCATTTTCCAAGGAAAAGTGAAAAGAAACCTAAGTTCGTTCACACTGAGTTTGTCAAGCCACATGTGTTCTGTTGGTGGGTCCAGTGTGAAGTCTTGTTAGGCTAAGGCTCCTGTCACTGAGGGGAAAATGGTCTGTGATAAATAGCTGTGACTTCCTCACCGCCTAGAGTCAGCCCCGTGGCAGGAGCGGCAGAGCGGCCTTCCAGCTCCTGTCCACACAGGACAGCGGTGACACAGCGCATTTAGGGAGGGATCCAGTGACAGCTGCCCAGGCTTGGACACCAATGGTCCAACTCCATGTTGGAGAGAAAAGAGAGGGCATCGTCCTGTTCCAGGAAAGGAGTGCTCTTTATCAGAGCCTAACATTGAGACCCAAATAAACTCCTTCCTCACATGAGGATCAGGGTCCCTTGCAGGGCTCGCTAAAGTGCAGCTCACTGGGCCCCGCACCAAGGTTGCTGGCACAGCAGCTCTTAGCTGGTACCTAGGCATCTGCATTTCTCACAAATTCCCAGATTATGTTGATGCTACTGGCCAGAGTCGTACTCTGGGGACCACTGCACTATGGCGTGACAAGCTCAAATAAAAGTATGACCACATGCAATAGACGGGACACTTCAAAATATTCATACCAAATAGAATTAAAAGATAAGCGCATTTTAGTGAAAAAAATTTTGAAATCTCCGCATGAGCTTTTTCAAAATCCTTCATAGAAGAACAATTATAAAATATATAAGATTGTCTACTATGTCTATGTGTTCCCGTGTTTATATGCTACATACAACTCATGGACAAAGGAAGTAAACTTTACTTCTTATTGGAAGAGTTAAACTTGTGTTGCTTACAGTTTCTATGGAATTATAAATAATAGGACTATTCCCAAGTTGTTGATGGGGAAGAACAACTCTGAGAGTGAGTAGCCCAAAGATTTTGTCTTTATATTTGTACAGTTTTAAAAGCACATTCACTAATGCTATAACTAGTACTGAAACAGTATTTTACACTCTGTGTTTCTGTGTGGGTGCAAACTGTTGAAATCTTTACTTAATATATGCTAAATTGATCTTCTGTATATAAAGATAATTGAAAATGAATCTTGATGAGAATGGAATGGGAGAGGGAGCGGGAGAGGGGAGAGTTGCAGGTGGGAGGGAAGTTATGGGGGGAAAAGGCATTGTAATCCTTAAGCTGTACTTTGGAAATTTATATTTATTAAATAAAAGTTAAAAAAACTAAAAAAAAGCACATTCACATCTGTTATTCAATTTGATTATTGTAACAATTCTTCAGATTAGACCAGGATGATATCTTTATGTCCATCTTTCGGGTCAGCAAAATGAGGCTCCGACAGGTTAATGGCCAACCAAAGGTCATAGAGCTATGTGCATGTTGGACACAAGATCAGAATGCAAATTAATTAACCCAGTGCACGGTTCAAAGCAGACACTCAAAACTTCTTGTTGGGTGAATAAATGCATAAACTTCTAAAAGATGAGGACTTTCAAACTACTGCTCAGCGTCACTTGACAGTAATTTCCTGGTGTTTTCCAGGGTGAGCAGGACAGGGGAGGAGAAGAGGAAGAGAATACAGACCCCCCCCCCCCAAGAGCCTTCCCACATTCCTCTTTCTCACACACCTTGAACTTTTATCTCAGCTGTAGTGATGCTTGTGAACACCAGAAAATGTGTTTATACTGAGATTGCCAGCCTCATCCCACAGGGCTACAGAGCTTGAGGACTTGGCCAAGAAAACCCAGAGTTGATGGCACACACTGTTGGACCATGGCTCTCTCCACGTGCCCTGCACTCTGCTGCACTCACAGATTCCCTGCATCTCTGAATAGTCAATAATAGTGTCAGATTTAATATTT